TGTGGTAATTAGCACAAGGAGTTGAATCAGGTGTGTTAAATGAGGGGAAACCCAAAAATGTGCAGGGCTCCGGCCCCCCAGGACTGGAGTTTGACACCCATGTTCTAATGTTCTAAACTGTAAATGGTATCTGCTACATCTGTGTCTCACCCACTAGTCTGACTTTCTGTTCTTCTGCTCTGCTGATAATTTAAAACGGTTTGTTAATGGAGGCGTTAAATCATTTCTGAACCTTATGTGCTTGTACGCCATAGGAAATAAGTGGATATTTGCCCGGAAGATCTGAGGCCGGTATGTGTCGGTACTGAATGAGAGTCAGCGTCTGCTGATCCAGGGTTCGACGCCCCCCCAGGAGTTGGGCTGACAGGCTCTGCCATTCATCACCTCCTTCCGCCCCTCTGCAGCCTCCTCAGCTTTCTGTGCACCTCTCTTTCAGCCGCCTGCGGGGGCCTCCTCTCAAAGCTGAACGGGACCATCACCACGCCCGGCTGGCCCAAGGAGTACCCCCCCAACAAGAACTGCGTGTGGCAGCTCGTGGCCCCCGCTCAGTACCGCATCTCCATGCAGTTTGAGTTCTTTGAGCTGGAGGGAAATGAAGTAAGCAGAAGCCATACGAGACCCACCATAAACAAATCATATACTCATTGTACTCATATACCCAAGAGTATAATCATATGCTCTTAAAGGGGTCGATATAAGGTAAACTGTGATGTATGAGTAAATACTCCTATATGCATGAATATTGCATATTGTAATTTAAAAATCTGCCCATACACACAGCTTCCAATAAGGGGGCATATTCAGAAATGATAAAAAATGAAGTAATGAAGAAATGAAGTGGAACCAATATGAGATCAACCATAATCAAATCATATACTCATTGTACTCATATACCCAAGAGTATAATCATATGCTCTTAAAGGGGTCGATATAAGGTAAACTGTGTTGCATGAGTATGTACTCCTATATGTATAAGTAGTTCATGTAGTGAGTAAAAAAAATCTGGCTATTCTTCCAGCAAGGGGTATACTCAGAAATATTAAAATGAAATGTAGAAATATAAAAATGCAGTGAATTAATATTTAATACATAGGTGACAATACTCTAAAATAATTTTTAATGATATAAATATGCATTTTAAAATAAGATTAGTTGATACGTATGTGTTCTATTTATGGGAGTGCTGTCTTGCTCAGTGCATGTTAGGACACTACCCGTGATCAGAAGGTTGCTGGTTCAAATCCCAGTTATCTCTCTTTTGGGCTTTGGATCAATGCCCCGATGGATGGTTTTGCGTCCACAAAAAAAAAAAAATTGTGTCGCTTCGGAAACGAAAGCTTCTGGTAAACAAATAAACCGCAAATTTCACACGAATACATTTCAAAACGCAGCGCTAAAGGTTAGCTGAGTGGCGGCTATGCTAACAGGTACGGCGCAGCGATGCTGTCCGGCTGACCGAGGGGACACGCTCCTCCTGTGACGACCCCTTCTCTCTCTTTCCACTCGAGGTGTGCAAATACGACTACGTGGAAGTGCGCAGCGGCCTCTCGTCCGACTCCAAGCTGCACGGGAAGTACTGCGGCACGGACGTACCCGAAGTCATCACCTCCCAGTTCAACAACATGAGAATCGAGTTCAAATCCGACAACACAGTGTCCAAGAAAGGGTTCAAGGCTTACTTCCTTTCAGGTATAAGTGGGTTGTTTTCCTGCCCAGTTTCATTGTGTTATGCAGGAGCGCATAACATTTTACAGTTGTTATTTTCATCTGACACATGCATTCTTTTCTTGTTGCCTATTTTAACCCGAAATGAAAGGCTGTCGATGAGCCATTTGATGTCTTTGATGTCTCTCACTTACTTAGAGGCTAACTTTGGATGCTTTTTTTTATCCTGTTAGGCTTATTTCCAGGGCATGGGCTGTGTCTGGCATTCTCTAAATTGAGCATGCTCTCTGGTACTGATCTCACTCCTGCTCCCTCAATGTAAACAAATACTCCATTATAAATTCAGCCAATCCCTTTCAGTTAATTGGTCCGTCGTCTTTGATTGTCCTTTATATCTGTGTGGTTCAGTGAATAATACAATATATTAATACAGTATACCTTATTACATGACAATATGCCAGTTTTCCATGCACTCAGTATGTTTCGATCCCCAAGTATCAAGCCGTTTATATGTTTTTTGACAAGCTGGTCGAACAAAGTTTTGTGAAACTGTTCAGTTTATGCTCTAGGAGGATGAGTGTGTGCATGTGTGTGTGTGTGTGTGTGTGTGGGGGTGTGCGGGATGGACGGGGGTCGGTGAGGGCCTCACAGCTCAGTGTGTGTGTGAGAGAGAGAGAGAGAGAGAGAGAGAGTGTGTGTGCAGGTATATCCTACTGTATGGGGGCACAATGTCCCCAAAACGTGATGAATACCTGTTTTTTTCCCCTTATGGGGACCAGTTTCCTGGGGGGGGGGACTCAATTTAATAAAAATCTGTGACTGCAATGAAAAAACTAAAAATGTATTTCTCTTAGTTACTTATGGTTATGGCTAGGACTGGGTAGGGGTTAAGGTTGTCATAATTAGCGTTAGCATTTTTCCCATAGAAATGAATGAGCGTAACCCAAAAAGATATGAATACATTACTGTGTGTGTGTGTGTGTGTGTGTGTGACTGACGTGCTGCTGTAGGTACGGACACAATGTCCAAAATGTCTCTGAAGCACCTTTAAGGGTGGATGAAAGAGCAGGTGCTTGCTGGAGATAACGTTCACTGTGGGTACAGACTGCAGGTTCATAGCTCTCTAATAATGAAGATTCAGGTGAAGCTTTTTTTTGGAGGACCTTACTGAAGCCTTCTGAAAAATATTTTTAGTTAATATGAGCAATGACGTAATTTCAAAATAAAAGCCTCTCAGCGTTAATGGGGCCTGAATGGAACCTGCTATCCATGCAGGACGTGATGAACGGAATTTATGAAACACATATGAATCACAAGTTTTTTTTGTTGCCATCTTGATTGGACTTGAATTCTGTAGCCCAGGAAGACCATCCTTTGCTGCTTGTTCAGTCATAGGGGGTGAGGCTGAGGCGAATCACGGAAAGCTAAGTGGAAATGGGGCGACGCTCTCTTCTGCCCCCTGCTGGGGAGGCCTCTGCATTGTTTTTTTCTCGAGCGGTCGCTGACAGAATGGCAGTGTGTCTGTGATGCCGAAATGCTGTTTTCTGATGTTTTTAGTAGAGCTTTAACCATTGGCTCAAACGGTGGTCGCACAGTTTATGTCTTGTATGTGATTACTTGGGATTCGCACCCGTGTTTGACGTGTGCGTGCCGACACAGGATTCACGGCTGGTGCCCACGCTGGCACACTTCTCTCCCACAGACAAGGATGCTTCCTGCAAAGAGAGAATTTTTGTTTTTCGATCGTGCAAGGACGTGACACGCTTTGCCCTCTCTGGTCTGGTGCGTAAAACGGAGAAAGCGGCTGCCTCTGACGCGGTCAGAGGTACGAGGACACGCCCCCGCTGGGCCCCAAATCAAGTATCTGCCACTGGTAATGGATCTTCCCCGCCGATGGACTGAAAAGAATCCATTCGCACCTGGGGAAGATGGATTCTTTTTCCTGCCTGCAACAAATGGATCACTTTTCCAGCGAGGATGCATTTGTTGGCCATCAACATCGCGGCAGGTCGCGATGGCATAAACTGACGCTTGCCTCTTTTTAGCGGAATATTTAATAACCAGCAAAATGGCGTGCCGTTTCCAGCAGCTTAGCGTTTTCGTACAGTAACATTGCGATCTGAAACACCTTTTTTTCCCAGTACTTTATAACATAATAAATATAATTACATCTGATTTAATTATGTTAACACAGCTAACCATTTAATTTAATGTTAATGAAACGTGAAACGTGAATTTGTTACGATATTGACTTGACATGGCATCTGCGATTAACAGCGGTAGAACGCAAATGTAGCTCTGTACAGGTAACTACCAAATGGAGGCCAATAGAAAGGGCTTTAAAAGGGTCAGCCACTAAAAACTGCTAGTGCACTGGATCTCAGGACAGAATCCATTAAGGCCCTGAACTTCACTAGAAGAATGCCTTAGTATTTTTGGTAGCACTTTACTTAGGGGGTACAAGTAACTTAGTAACTCAGTTACTACTCAAGTACAAATCATGAACAGATACAGTAACTGCATGAAATACATGAACCGTTATGATTGATTAATGATGAAAGAACATGTGATCATGTATGTAAATAACACAGTTATTTAGTTAATTAATTGGTTAATTAATACATTAAGATTGTAACTACTACATATAAAGTGCTACCCTATTTTTCAGTGGGGCAATCTATCTTTTCTATAAAAATCCCGCGTATGTTTTTCAGAGCATTCATTGATCCCTGTTCCCCTGTGGATGGGAACTTTGAGAGAGAGTGGAAGGTCCCACTCAATCAGGATTAAACATTTCGCCATAACTTGGAACAGCTTTATGTTTCTTGGCATCTACCTTTCCCACAAAGGACGGAGTAGAACTAAACCAGGCCAGGAACATGCACCCGGCAGTGTGGAAGATCTGTACCCCATCAAGGACTCCTTTCTCATAGTCACAGAGACTCTCCTTCTAAAACTGATTTCCAAATTATTGTTAAAGAGACCAGCTTTGCTTGTTGGCATTTACTCTTCCCTCTACGGGGTTGAGTAGACCAAACTTTTGCCAGGAAAATATGCCCCGCAGCACAACAGAGCTGTGCAACTATAACAACCTCCTTCTCAGTCGCAAAGATCCTTATTCTAGCCATGTTGTCCATTGTATTTTTATACATTCCCCTGTGCATGATGGGATTTTACTCGCTTAATTACCTGAAGAGGCACACCTGAGTTCAATATTGCTTGCCTCCACCAGCATTGTCCCATCTGGGATGTTTATACTTGTCAGGTGTAGAGAAGGTGCTAATCCAATAATATACTGGCAGACTAATGAGTCAGAGAAGGAACGATGAGCATCAGGGATTGTCAGTGTATGGGTTGGAGCAAATGGATCCATTCGCTGTCAGACAGGCTTTTAGAAAGATGAGGCTTTTACTGTTCGCCTCCAATAAGGAGATGGCCAGTTTGAACACACTGTCCAGAAACATCAGTGTGATGAAATTATATTTAAAAGTCACTTTTGTCTAAAGCGACATACAAGTGAGGATCAGGGAGCAGGATGCCGGGAGGAATTTGGGACTAAGGGATATACTCAAGGAACCAAACGTGAAATAATTCTGCCAGACAAGGGACTGGAACCAGCAACCTTCTGAGCATAGGCGCCGAGTTTTAATCCACAGACTTACACAACACCCTCTCTAATAGCTCCTTCGTGGCCTCCACGGGAAAAGGGTCATACTGACTCAGCGTCATCTTCACTCAGGACATCCAAGGGACGGCACCTTGTTGGCCGAGGGCCGGCGGGCTCGAACCCGGTCCTGTCAGCACGTGCTGTTGATCCCCAGGCTTATGAATAAACATTTCAGCTGGCTTCAGCTTCGCCGGGTCAAGAGAAAAGTGCTGGATGTGCAATACTCGTTTATACACAATACAGCTGCGGAGGCATTAGGACACAGTGTGTACTGTATACAGTATTCACAGGAGAAATGCAGTAAGCAAAAGAGTCGCGCAAGTTCGTCAAGAACTACAGAGTTACCGAGAGGTTTTGCAGTTGCTGCAGGATTCAGCCAAAAAGTCAACTCTCTTCGCACTGTGAAAAAGCCCTCAGGAGTAGCTTTAGGCTGGTTCCACCGCCATGATGGCTACGATTATGCGAAACACCCTTTTTAAACTCCGAATGTATGCTGATGTGTAACAGGCACTGCTTCTGAGACGACACAACAACTAACATACTAGGGCTACCCCCTTCTTGGGGGGTTCAGTGGGTCTCCCACACCGACCTTCCCCAGTTAACTCTCACTCCTTTTAACAGACTGAAAGACTCACTGAAAGACTCAGTATTCTTGACTCTACATGCTGTCTTTCAGTGGGTTCTGCTTAATGTGTTACATTGATTTGTTTGTAATACATTTGCTGTTTTTTTGCGGTCTTTAGTAAGAATTTATCCACGTTGATCACTGAATACATAAGTAATTGATTTATAATTTGTCCCATCTTACTAATAATAATAATAGCTAGCCCCCAATATCATAATAATAGCCTTTTATTTTGTTAAAGCATCCATGCTGTTTTTTTTCTGTTATCATGTAACCATATGACTAAACCAACATATCCTCCTGATACCCAATGAAAAAAGTGTCCTTCAATTTTAGGTTATTTGTCTTTGGAGGAAATAAAACATCTTACAATTTATTTTAATTTTTAATTTCACAGCATGTCCTCTTTAGTGTACAAGAGGAATAAATATGTCTCCTTACATCAGTGAAAAGATAGATGCAAAAACAAAATGTCCACTGCAATGGACATAAATGAATGGGCGGGGTCTCAGGAGGATATATTGATACACCCAGTTATTACTTAATGTTTCAAGGCTATTGCAGGAGAGGGTTTATTGAGTTGAGTACGAGTGTGTTGATGAGCTCTTTTTCCCATAAGCACATGTTCCAGTCCTGCTCTGCTCTACACCGCTGTGGAGCCATTGACACTCGTCTCCCACAATCCCCGCAGACAAGGACGAGTGCGCCAAGGACAACGGGGGCTGTCAGCACGAGTGTGTCAACACCGTAGGAAGCTACGCGTGCCAGTGCCGCAATGGATTCGTGCTGCACGAAAACAAACACGACTGCAAAGAAGGTATGTATCTGGGGGATGGGGATGGGGATTCAAGCTGGTCATCAGACAAACGTCTGTTTGGCATCTGTGCTGCAGGACCTACATCCATTATACCACAGTCAGGAATAAACAGGAAGTAATTTTAGCACAAATACAATCACGCATAATACAGTCGAGATTCAACGTTAGCGGAAAATGAGCTGAAATTGCATAAAACTCCAAAGTGTTTTATGCAATTGGAGTTTTCATGAAAACTCCAATGTGTTTTTATTCTGATTTTGAGATGGTTTCTCTGATGACCAGGAGAGACGAACCACAAACTACTTTAGCTCCCTGCTGTCATTGCAGAATGAGTTTGATTTGAAACATCTGGCCATTCCTGAGGCTTCAAAGCAGCTGTCCTGTGGTCTCAGTACGATTCTGTTGTCTCTGTCGCTTCCCTCTATTAGACAAAGAAGCAGATACCAGCACTCCAGTGATGTATGCTGCTTCAGTTACAGGACTGTTTTTTTTACAGTCTTTCACATACCAATGACTAGTCTTTCTGGGCGTGGAATTTCTCACAAAGCATACATAATGTATGATTCTCAAGGTTTATACGTCACACCCAAATGTGATTTTGTGTTGATGACAGATGGAAGTCATTTGTATCAGTCTCCAGGACAACAAAAGGACGTTTGTCAGTGGTCTGCCGAAGGGGGAACTCCATCGCATGGAGGGTGATGCCTTTTTCAACATTCGAAGCGTTCAGAATATCTGGTTCATTGGACCTTTCGGAGTTAATGGAATCAACAGGGTCACCGTTGCTCTGGAGAAAGTGAGATCTGCTGATGTATATTCAGCAGGATATGATTTCACATTGTTCTGTTACATCTGCACATTTGAGGCAAGGTGTCATATTGGGTACGCAATGGATTTTAGTGTGCGAATGCAGACTTTAACATAATATCTGGCATTCTGCGGCCATACAAAAGCATACTTATGCAGATGGATTCCAAAGAAAACATAATTCAGACTCCCAATGCTGTACTGCACTGTCTACTACTCAGATAGGGGTTGGCCTGATGGCACAGGCCCTCGTGAGGCGTGGTTTACGTCTGCTTTGATGCTGAGTTTTCAGCACGCTGTGATGTGCTACGTTACATCTTTGAACAGTGGAACTGTATGAATCATTTGCAGGTGCAGAACAAAACAGCCAATAGCCTTCCAGATACAAAGGACCCATAGAGTACTGTGCCACATCTGCCGCTTTATAGGCAAAAGGAACCGTTCCTTTGGACCTTCAGCATCAGGAATAATAGAATTATCAAGGCTATCACACCTAAGTCAGATGGAAATTTCTCACTGCATAGGATAGGAAGTCACAGGAGTTAAGAGTGCTAAATTGGCGTAAAAATATTAATTATGGGTGTCACAATGACAGTTAAAGTTTTTTGAACTGTCTAGAAATTGAGTCGAACATGTGTAGAAGTAAACAATAAACAAATCATTTACTGTTAAAAACTCTATACGGCTAGATGCAGGATGATTATACATAACAATAACAGTGGCTTAGGAGATACCTAAAATATCTGATGCTTGCACATTAATATTCTCTCCAGCAAATTAAATTGACTTCCTACTCTTACTTTAATAGCTCATGCATTTTACTGCCAGAGGGAGATCGCGGCTGTCTGATTAAGGGGCTAATTAAGGGAGAACAGAGCTATCAGCTTGTCATTAAAGCACATATCAACAATCGCTGCTCCAGCCTCCGCAGCTCGTGCAGCTCCGGTCGCTCGTCTCCCGTTTAACCTGTCTGGCTGCTTTACGTTCTGATCAGTGAGATAATCTGAAACACATTCACCCTTCACACTTCTATGAACTTCCGGCAAGAGGGAGGGGGAAAGAAACGGACACACGTAGAAAATAAAAGTCTTGTCCCTGACGTGCTTAATGCTATTTGGCAGACTACAAAAGGGTAGGAGAAAAGCAAGAATTTCAAAATAAAAGTCTTGTCCCAACCATTTGGATGCAATGCTACTTCACAGACATGCGAGAGAGTGGGGAAAAGTAAGGATTTCAAAATAAAAGTCTAGCCCCAGCCATTCAGACTTAATGCTATATGACAGACATGCAAAAGAGTGGGAAAAAGTTTGAATTTCAAAATTAAAGTCTTACCCCAGACATGTAGACTTAATGCTATTTGACAGACTTGTACATTACCTTTTTTAATTAACCAAAATACACCCTGTTTTTTGCCACCTAAACTGTTCTCTTCACTGATAAAAAAAAACAGTATTGTTGGGCTGTTTTGTGGGAGGCAAACAACCAGTAGTAATTAGAGAGGCTGTATGGAGGGAACTGGGATGCCAAACATTCTTTGGATTTGTCCATAGTTTAAGACCCTTAGAAGGTTTCAGAAGTAACAAGAGGGAGTGAGTTGAGGTTTTAGTCACCGATTGATGCTCTTCCTTGAAAAGCTCTGGCCAACTGTTACACAGTAGGCGGGGAGTAAAATACGTCTGGCAGTCGATTCGCTCGTCCGGGAAACATAGACGAGGAAAGACCATGCCACTTGCCAGCATCAATATTTTAGCGAGAGATCTATTGCATGAATGTTGTTCATACTTCTGCTAAGGAATGCCGGCTACCACCTGACGCTGAGTTATTGTGCTGGTGCCAGAATTAAAATGCATCCATCCATCCATCTTTCTCCCAAGCTCTTATCCAGTATAAGGTGAAGGGTTGTTCACTAGATGCACTTTACCAATTTGTCATAAACATGGATTCCATTGTAAATCTTTACAGTTCAGTGAATGGAAAATATTATGTATAATAATTTAAGCATTTAATAACATCTCAATTTAAGCATAGTTCTTTGACTTACCCGTGACAAAGAAAGCAAACATTTACAAAATAATGATGTCAAACTTCAAAGCTATTTGAAAAACATGCAACGACAGTCTCACGTCTTGTGTTTACTTAGTAAGCAGGGTTACCTGATATGCAGTGTTGGGCATGTCAGGTCCAGAAAAAAAAATCCAGACCAAGGTTTTGTTTCTACCAACCAACTAAGCATAAAGAAACACAGTCACAGAGAACTCAACAGGTCGGTAGAAACAAAACCTTGGTGTGGATTTGTAGTTTCTGAACATGAAATGCCCAACACTGGTGATATGTGTTTATATATGCCCACAAACGTTTCATAACTGACAGTATTTGTAGATTATGAATTGCAAACATCCCTTATTAAGGAAGTACGTGATCTTTGCTTTATGTTTGTTGTATGCTAAGCAATGCTAGTTAGCAAGGAGCAGTAAGCTGATTGGCTGGGTAGTGGCCGAGCATGCTCAGTGTGGTAAATACATTCACTTTACTCATATATTGCTTGAAAGTCTATTTTTGACATCTGTTACAGTAAGATGGTAAGACAAATATTAATAGTTCCATACAGTACACTTTTTCAGGAAATGCAATTTGATAGTAGCATGCTGTCTATAATAATATAATGACATAATAATAGCATCTTAGTACATATTTTGTTATATTTTGGTATCAGTTCCATATAATTGCTTTGGTTATGTTTACTTTCTGTAGATTTTAATGTTTCACTCAGCAATATTCCACAGGATGAAATCCATCCTTATCTTTTGGCTGCCAACGTCTTTCAGGAAATTCATACTGAATGATTTTTTTTTTCCAATTCAGGATGAATTTCAGCTGCGTGTCAGATTTTTCTGCCGTGAGCAGGAAAAAAATGAGGATAATATCTTTGAGAAATTCACCTGAATGACAGGATAATGACCTATATGCGCGGGAAGGTAATTTGGTGAAATATGACTTCACAGTTCGCCATTAAACGGAAGCGCTTATCCGTCAGAGCAGACGAGGCATGAGGTCGTTCCGGGACGTGGCCTAGTTTCTCTATTTGTGTGTCCAAACTCGGTTGCTTTATCTTGTGGTTTCAGCGGAATGCGAGCACAAAATCCACAGCCCCAGTGGGACCATCAGCAGCCCTAACTGGCCTGACAAGTACCCCAGCCGCAAGGAGTGCATCTGGGACATCACCGCCACACCCGGCCACCGTGTCAAGATCGTGAGTGCTCCTTAACCCCCCCGAAACATCTCGCATTCCCCTTTCAGCCGTCACAAAAGGGACTGCAAATCTGGCCGTGGCTCCAGTGTATACTATATGTAAAAACTGTAACTGAAATCTGCAGCATAATATCACTTCCTGGACTCACTGGGAGAGGACAGAGTCTCCTGCTTGCCAGTGGGACAGACACCGCTTTGGACAATACCAACAATATAGGGGTGTGTGTGTGTGTGTGCGATATATATCTGATCTGGACTATACCAATGGAAGACAGGGTACAAGTACTCATATAGCAGTCCTGACATTGCAGGGCCTGGATTTATGAAATTTTATTTATGTTTGTTTTATTCAAATTAACTGGCGTGCCATCCAGGGTGTACCCATGCCTTGGGAGCTGTTCTGTCTGG